CTGATGTTGTAGGAGTGTTGTTATAACAATTAGTTTTGTTATAACAATTCTATATTTATTTAAAGTTGCGCATTTTGATGTGACGTCACATTTATCACCGCCCCCCTCCCTCGTCACACATCGTCACAAAAATCTGACCCCCACCACCACCCACCACCTAGGTGCGTGACGTCATTTATGGACGGCCCCCTAATCTGGCACTGGTGCCAGAGTTGGGCGCGCATGGTTTGAGGTGCGTGGGGAGGGGTGTGGGGGAAGGTGTAGTGGTGGGGGGGGGGGGGGCCCGAGGTGGTGGTGGCTGGGTGGGTGGGGGGCGGCTACTCCCATCGTCCCCGCTATGTACGGAAACTTCTTTCGCACCGTACGTAGGGCAACTGGGGCCCTGTGGGCAGACGAGCACGGGCGGGCGGGGAGTGTAGCCTCGGCGTGTCCGCTGGGCTTGCTTTAGGCCCCAGGGTCCCGTTGCCCTCCGGCGTTGGTGTTTAGCGGCCCCCGACAGCCACCATCCATCGGCCTGGGCGTTCGAATTTCGTTTTAAAAAGAATTTACACAGAGCCTCGGGTAAGGCGCTTTTTTGGATGAGGCCCTTTGTAAATTCGTGCACGGGATTAACAATCGTACGACGTGCGGACGTGACGGTGGAGAATGATGACGAATGGATTCAACGAACGAATGGATTTGGGAGTTAACGAGTGGGAGCAAAGCGTGAGTTTTGAGATCACGAAGATTGTAATCCGTTACAATCTTTGAATTTCACGTAAGATCAGAAGCGTGTTTTTTTGTTGTTGTTTTGTTTAATGGTGAGACACAATTATTGCATAGTAACGGTTTGACGAGAATCGCTGTTAACTAAGAGAAGTCTGAATCGCTGGGAGCAGTTTGCTCAAGCAAGCGAAGATGAAAACGCAACTCCCTCCCCTCTCTCGGTACAGCCTGAACAGGCTGATATGGACAAGTCCTGCTCGCGAGCATCTATTAAGGGGCTGAGCCCGGCCGCCTTTGTCTCTCCAAGCGCGCGTTCTTGACACGCATACACAAATGTTTACACTCTACTTGTATGCAGAGTCAAAAATGTATATGCAGGACTTTGATAAAAAAATGTAATTATACTATGGTTAGGCGTCATAAGGCATATTAACAGTGAAATGTTAATATTGACCGTGCTGCATAATCGATGTACGTGTAGGCCACATTATGTAGGTATATATTGTGTGTCTAAAACACAATGCGCCTTAATATATCACTGCAATGTGTGCGCTTGATACATTAATTTACCTAACAAATGTATATGCATCGTAACTATATTATTCATGGGATATGTCTAAATGTAACAGAGCAGCTGATACATATTTTACATCCTCTATTTCTCTGTGAGTTTAGATAAAGCATGTACCTGTATGTACAAATGCATAAATTTCTCTCCACTTAAATGAATTATGTCGTGTATTGTGGCAGACATTATATATATACATTACTCGCTTAACTACCCGGCTTCGCCCGGGACATGGATCCACCACGCCCGGCCGCCTTTGTCTCCCCAGTGGCGATGTTCACACACCGCACCAGTTAATCGCTTGAGGCTGAGTCGACCTAGGGGAGGCCCAGGACCGGTTAAAATAATCTTCACCGGTGGTGGCCGTGAGCGGGAATCGAACTCGGGTCGTCGGCTTCGTAGCGCAGCGTAGCGCTAACCGCTACACTACAATGCGTTACGCTTCCACGTGCGCGGGTCACGTGACAGATGTGACGTCACAGTTCACTTGCCGTGCAAAAAATAAATGCATTATTGAGCTCCCCCCCCCCAATAAAGTGTATTTTTATAATTGTTGCATGGTGTACATTCTGGAAAGTACCCACATGGCAAATTTCAAGTTTGTTGCATATCGGGAAGTACCCTAAACATTTTGAACAGACACACATAATCACAACTTTGCCTTTTATATATATGGAGATATTAATATTACATATTGTATTCTGTATTTCACTGACGTAAGGTGTGAACAGCTGTCCGCCATTCAAATATAATGATCATTACCATCAGCCATGGTCAATCCACTGCTGAATGAATGCTTCCCCAAATCTATATATATGTTTTAGCATATTCTGTAAATAACAAATGAATGTTCGTTATATACTCATGAGCAGCGGCATAGCACAGTAATCTTCACGTCTGAAATGTTTGAGTGATTGTCAAGTGATGTCCAGGGAGTGTACATGCCTTAATGTGTGTGTGCTTAGGTATGTCATCATCCCTAATCGAGGTTGTTGGGGTAGATGGCGTAAATATAAACGCCGTAGTCGTGAAACCCGCCACCACCCGACACAGGCAATTGGTAAGGTTTGTCACGTGAAGACAACGAGCCAATCCGTTACTATAGCACAGCACGTGAACACCTTGCTAATTGGCTGTGTCGGGTGGTGGCGGGTTTAGCGACACATTTACATTCACGCGATGTGACCTCAAGATAAACTCTGTTATGGATAATATTTATCGCGGCAACCTACGTGTGCAGAATCATGTAATTCATACGTAATTGTGTATTTCGAATGTATCTCGACTATGCATGTCATCTGTACGTGATTTCGTGTATGGATGCGTTGCGTGTACGTGTGTGTTGACGTGTACATGTGTCCACGCGTGCATGCGCTTTGTGTTCATGTGTAGCGCAGTGTGGGGATGTGGTGGTGCAGTGGTTAGCCCTGCGCTACAAACACAATAGCGGTGGCGAATGTTTGACCTACTGGGTATCCCCAGAGGTCGACTCAGCCTAAAGTGAGTACCTGGCGCGGTGTGTAAACATCAGCACTGGGTATGACGTGGGGTGGGTGGCCAACAACAGCACTTGCCCCAGCAGTCTGTTGAAGGCCATACCGGGGATATGTGTCATTGTATTTATATGTCCCTGTGTATGGACCCATGTGTGTACGAATCTTTGCATGTGCTTGCTTGTATGAATCCAACATTGGGAGGGACCAAATCATCCATGGGGTCTGGGGGTCCCAACCCAGAAAAAAAAATCTACATTTGAAAACGAATTTCCTGCCTAAAATATTTTTAAAAAATTCACTAACACGTGGGATGGACTTTGTATGTATTTTTTTTACAATAATGTCTAATAGTGTATATTGTATTACATTGCTCTGTTTTTACTTTTTTTTACCATTTCTTGTCTCATTGTATGTAATGGCAGAGATTAGGGATTAATAAAGTACAACCATAACCACAATCGTATAAACAGAAATCTATGCATTTCTAGATTTAAAGCTTTCGTGACTGCAAGGATCCATACTCTTTGGTTCTATTGGGTAAAGTCACGTAGGTAAAAAATACAATAACAAAAAATCACGACGTTTCGGCCACAACGCAAGCGGCCTTCATCAGGTGAAGGGACGAGACTGCGCTGTCCTCCAGACAGTCTCGTACCTTCACCTGATGAAGGCCGCTTGCGTTGTGGCCGAAACGTCGTGATTTTTTGTTATTTTATTTTTTACCTACGTGACTTTACCCAATAGAACCAAAGAGTATAGAAATCTATGCGTTGATTTATATGAAGACAAGTCCGGATATTGTGGCCAAGGTTTAGCAAATTGTTGTTTTTATTTACGTAGCATAGCAATTAAATTTATTTTATAGCAATATAGTGGGGAGGACATCTTGAACATATTTGAATATTGTGGAGGATGTGTCCCCCCCAATATATTATAATTACGGCCTTGTATTAATCCCATTACGTGTCTGTAACATATATATAGGTACGTGTCTGTAACATCTATATTGGTACGTGTCTGTAACATTCTGTATATATTGGTACGTGTCTGTAACATTCTGTATATATTGGTACGTGTCTGTAACATCTATATTGGTACGTGTCTGTAACATTCTGTATATATTGGTACGTGTCTGTAACATTCTGTATATATTGGTACGTGTCTGTAACATCTATATTGGTACGTGTCTGTAACATTCTGTATATATTGGTACGTGTCTGTAACATTCTGTATATATTGGTACGTGTCTGTAACATTCTGTATATATTGGTACGTGTCTGTAACATTCTGTATATATTGGTACGTGTCTGTAACATTCTGTATATATTGGTACGTGTCTGTAACATTCTGTATATATTGGTACGTGTCTGTAACATTCTGTATATATTGGTACGTGTCTGTAACATTCTGTATATATTGGTACGTGTCTGTAACATTCTGTATATATTGGTACGTGTCTGTAACGGTCTCCTCACTCAAACCCATGGCAGCGAGCCTTCGGCACGCCGAGGGTGCACCTAGCTTGGCACAGACGTCCTGGTGACGTCACCTTCACTTACTGGCAAACTGCGCTTGTTGTTGTTGTCGTTGTTAGTGTTGTTGTTGTCGTTGCAGCTATGACCACCGATAAACACTGACACAGCACAGCAACCACGCCCGGCCGCCTTTAAATACCCAGTGTTCGACGTTTATGTTGCACCAGGAACTCGTTTCGGGCTGAGCTGACCTAGGGGGAGGCCGCGTACAGGTCTTTCAGATATTCACCACTTCATAGGTGCTCGCTAACAATCGCTTGCCCCGAGAACCTACAAAAAAAGCGGCTTATATGGGGGATACTTGCCCTTGCATGCACAACAATATATACAGGGTGGTGCTTCAAAAAAATGTGAACACTTCCGAGAATTCGCGACAACACCACGAGAAGTGTGCTGACTCCTCCGGGCTCTGGAGACCACCGGGAGAAGATTCCAGGCACGCGTTGACATCGATGGCGAACAAGCGGTGAGACTCTTGGACTTTTCGAAGCGATTAGCGATTAACATTACATTTGCTGTCATGTTACAGTTCCATTTAAAAAAAACGATAGTCCCATGCAAAGTGTTAACATTTATTTGAAGCACGCTGGATAGCAACAACCACGTGGATATTCCACTCTGTATGCTCGTATGTGCGTCGCGGGTGTTTGTACGTTTGCAGTGTCATCATCACACGCCCTGTGCAGGCGATCTCACCGAACATGCCCAGGTGTCCTTTGGTGATTGGGTTAAAGTCTCCGTAGGTCAGCAGGATGATGTGTGGAGCCATCCGCTCGCCCATCTCTGCACCCAGCAGAGCCACCACCACCACCACCAGCAAATAGCAGCACCGCAAACAGCACCAGAAGCAATACCAACACTGCCTACAGCAACAGCAGCAGCAATAGCAGCACTGTCAACAGCAGCACTATCAGCACTGCCTACAACAGCAATACTAGCACTGTCTACAGCAGCAATAGCAGCACTGTCTACAGCAGCAATAGCAGCACTGCCTACAGCAACAGCAGCAATAGCAGCACTGTCTACAGCAGCAGCAGCAATAGCAGCACTGACTACAGCAGCAATAGCAGCACTGACTACAGCAGCAATAGCAGCACTGTCAACAGCAGCAATAGCAGCACTGCCTACAGCAGCAATAGCAGCACTGACTACAGCAGCAATATCGGCAGCGGCGCTGTGGGGTCCTCTCGTCAGCTGGGTGTGACGGCTGGGCTGTGAACCAATGCGGCACTGGCCAATCCGAGCACGAGAGGAGAGGAGAAGGGGAGAGAGGAAACGAGAGAGAGAGAGAGAGTCACACAGGGAGGGCCCGTGGGGGATGTCGAGATGAGAGAGAGGGGGGGTGTAGGAGAAGGGACAGAGGGGATGGAGGGAGAGGCAGGGTGGCGCCCACTGGGTGATGAGGGAGATGAGAGCGGACAGAGACGTGGGGGAGAGAGGAGAGAAGGGAGGGAGTGGAGGGGGTGCAGTGCCTTGAGGATGGAGCGAGAGGGGGGCGGTGTGGACCCATTACGTCACCTCGGATGAGATTGCGGGCAGCCAGGGATGAGAGTCGTCCGTGATGCCAGATCGGAGGGATTCACCTCGCGATCGGGGATTCCGGCAGCGGTGTGTGTGATGGGGCTGAACGATTTGGGGAGAATATCTAACTGCGATTTTTCTGACATTGCGATTTCATTAGCGATTTAAAAAAATGTAAGCAAGCTTCAGTTCAATACTCACTGTGTAATAGATTTAAAACACGTGATGGAGCATTACCACGTGATACCATCAGAATATGAACTGCTCTATATATTCTAATGCAAAGGATGATAACTTAAAATATATGAATTGCTTCCAACGTGCATTTATTAAAATGTTTAATTGAAATAGAACAATCGCACATAGAACAATTGTTAAGTTAAATAAATAAAGTTATAATAATAAAAAATAACAATTCCAATAAGACAGTAATAGGACTTTTCAAATCGCAAAACATCGCAGCCTTTGCGATTTGGCTAATCTAATTGTTTCAAATTGCGATTTCGATTTCAAATCGATTATTCGTTCAGCCCGAGTGTGTGGTGGTTCGCACGCCGGACTTGCGATGCACAGATGTCACCGGTGATTCCCAACTCCTGGGCACACTGCTGCACAACATCAGCAGCAGCAGCAGCGTGGGGTGAGCACATTGCTGCACTCATCATCAGCAGTGCGTGTCGTGGGAACATTGCTGCACTCAGCACCCGCAGCAGCGTGTGGTGGGTTCAGCCGCCGATCGTCTCGTCGGCAGCTCGCCTGCGCTGGGGTGAAGCTTGTGGGGTAAAATCCCGCGCCTCTTCCGAGACGCGCTTGGCAAGCGTTGAAGAGGAGGCCGAAGTAGCCTCTCGGGCAGTGCTTCTTCTTCTTGTTGACCTGGGGGTGCGAGATGCCCTTTCTGGGTGGTGGCGAGACGTGGCCAGATTTTTTTTCGTCGAAGGTAAAGCATCGAAAACGCAAATTAAACACGGGGCACGTCAAGTAACAATTTTTTTTTTATAAAACCCGATGTATTTATGAACGTTGTACATTTTTTTTTTTTACGATTGTTTCAGTTTCATTTATTTGGCATAGCCCTGTGAGCCATCCGGCTCTTGAATCGTGTGCAACCGCTACAAAAAAAAAACAAAAACATGAACAAGAAAACATCTTAAAGTGACTTCCCGCAAACCACAGGGGTGTAAGTCTGCGGTGAAGGTGATAAGAACCACTGCTCTTCGAGAGAGCTCCCTCTGGTCACGGAGCAGTGGATCTTCTACCACCAGTGGGCGTGAGCGGGCACTCGCAGGGCTGCGCCTTTGCCCGCGACTTTCGCGGTCGAGGCGTCGGCTCGGTGTTCCCCCCGCGTGGAAATTCCACATTCCATCGGCAAGGGGCCATCGTATGAGGCACACGCGCAGCCACTGGCTTAAAGTGCACGTCAGTGCCAGGTGAGGCGAGGCTTGTATAGCATGACGCTATAAAGGGGCTCTAAATAAAAGAAAAACACGCAAATATTCAAACACAAATGTTTTACTTACAGTAATTGTATATATATTTTTTTTCATTTGCCGTACAGCCAGATAATACGACACATCTCTAACCTTAAACACCCTGTCGTCCGTAAAAGTTGAAGGCGGTATTGTACCGTAGTAATAGACCAAGTGCAGAATCACTGAACCGGAATTGATAGCTCTAAAGCGATTAGCGCGGGGCCCTTGAAAGTGCGGGGCCCGTAGCACGCGCAGCAGCTACTTGTGCCACTGGGGTTAACCCGGCACTGTCAATCCACTGCTCGATGAAGGAGGGGACATCTCCGCTCCCACGCCGTGCCGGTAGTCGTGGGGGTTGGTGGAGGTGGGGGTTGGTGGAGGTGGGCGCGGAGGGGTGGCGGTAGTCGTGGGAGCATAGAAGTGCAGCGCAACAATGAGCGCAGGCCGCTGTCCGCCCCCAACAGCGCAGACCGCTGTCGAAGTGGCCTGGAAACATGTATTGGGTCGTGCGGTGGAACGTTGACAGCAGCCGATTTAAGGAAAGTGTCACGTGGGGCGGCAGCATTGCAGGCACAGGTGCTGCTGGGCACGGACGTGATTATAAAACAATTTTTTAATAAAAAAATAATAATAATTGCTATGCTATGTAAATAAAAAGAACAATTTGCTAAACCTTGGCCACAATATCTGGACTTGTCGTCATGTAAATCAACGCATAGATTTCTGTTTATATGATTGTGGTCATGGTTGTACTTAATTAATCCCTAATCTCAAACAATTTTTTTTTTACAATATAACAAGAAAAGGTCAAAAAACTAAAAACAGAGCAATGTAATACAATATACACTATTAAACATTATTGTAAAACATAAATGAAAAGTCCATCCCATGTGTTCGTGATTTTTTTTTTAATATTTTAGGCAGGAAATTCGTTTTCAAATTTAGATTTTTTTTCTGGGGGGCGGGGGGAGGGGGACCCCTAGACTCCCTGGAACATTTAGCCCCCCCCCCCCCCCCAATGTAGACTCCATGGCTACGGCGTTGTTGCTGGCTAATGTTGGCCTGGTAAGCCGATTGGCCGACGGACGGACTCGACAGTTATCTTCGGCACAACGTACAACGTTGTTGGACCCAACGTCGCGTGTCCGACCGGGTTACTGCAGTACCGATCGTCAGCAACGTATCGTATTCTCTCAGCAACGTATTGCTACCAGATTCGCATTGCTATCACAGCGATGTAGAACGCGGGCATGAAACGCTTCAGGAAAATAATGGGTAGCATTTTTCACCCCGCGAGGTACCGATGTGATATTTTTTTGGGGGGCGCGCATGGCTTTAATGACCAACACAGTCCATGTGCGTTGCTTTTTTTTTGTATTAACACGTTCCTTCGGAGTGGGCAGGTAGGAACTTGGTTGGACAGCGCGTTCGCGCAGACAAATAATCCCTGGTGGGCAGTGCGGAACCTGTTGTTCCCACCTGTAAAATGTGTATATATGTACGCAATCTCCACACAACTCTTTTAAGAGCTATGGTTAGGAATGTTTGGAGATGTACTATGGTTTATATGGTATTTTATTGGTGTAAGCAGCGCACGCCAATTCCGAAACCAAGTTTTAATTCTTCCTCGCGGGCTCTAAATATGATTTGCGTATTTGCGTACGGAGGATATCATACTTTGTTCAAGCTAAAAAAAACAACACTCACCAAATACGGTTGAATATTAATGCCGAAACTCCAATTGTGCGGATGGAATTCCGGATATGCACGACAGACAGACAAATAATCCCTGGTGTATTTCACGCTTTTATTTAACTCTGTCTGTTGTTGTTGTAGTATCCTCAAATCTTGTAACTCAATTTTAACCCACTTCCCAATGTGGTATCGACTGAAAACTTGGTATACTTATGTCATACTGATGACAATACTATATTCTATAATAAAAAAAAATATTTTTTAAACGTTATTTTTTTAATTGTTATGTTTCGGCTTGGGTCTAATTGTCCACGCTCAACTGACGTTGGCTGTAAATCACCACGGTCCACTTAGGTTATGGCAAAGCTTTGCGGCCACTTCCTGGAGTTGTGGAGTTCTGCCATTACGAGTACGGTACATTTCATTAAAGCGTGTTTTAAAAAAAAAAAGTATTTTTTAAATATTACTTATTACCCCAAAGGCCAGTGCCGGATTATCCAAGTAGCAAAAGTAGCTACATATGTAGTATATGTATATATGTAGTAGCTACTACATATGTACTACATATGTAGTAGCTACGGGCCCCGCACTTTCAAGAGCCGTGCGCTAAATGGTTTCAAGCTATCAATTCCGGTTCAGTGATTCTGCACTTGCTCTATTATTATAGTACTATAGCGCCTTCAACTTGTATGAACGACCGGGTGTTTAATGGTTAGTGATTTGTCGTATCATCTGGCTGTATAGCAAATAAAAAAATACAATTACTTTACTTTGCAAGTTAAAAATGTGTGTTTTAATATTTAAGTGTTTTTTTTATGTATTTAGGACCCCTTTATAACAGCATGCTACAGGCCCCGCACGAGGTTCATCCGGCACCGGCTAAAATCACCCACCCAGCAGGAATTTCTACCCCCCTCCCCGCCTTCCTTCCCCTCCTCCCCACCTCTTGAGTATGACCCACATCTTAAAGAGATGGCCTTTGCCTTCAACTAACTGCCAGTTCATATTCTTGGTTCTTTCGGTAAAGTCACGTAGAAGGGAAACAATAAAGCAATAAAAATATGAAGCAATTATTTTATTGTTTCCCTTCTACTACGTGACTTTACCGAAAGAACCAAGAATATGAATCCCTGCAGTCACGGAATCTTTAAATCAAAATCTGCCCGACTTCTGCCTATGCAGCGAGGCAGTAATTATAATATATATTGGGGACACACATCCCCCCCAATATTCAAATATGCTCAAGATGCCCCCCCCCAACCCCCCAATATATTTCTATAAAATAGATTTCTGTTTTTACCATTGTGGTTATGGTTGTACTTTATTAATCGCTGCCAT